TCTGAGGTGGCAGCTAATGAAGGCATCTGAAGAAGAATCGCACAATGAAGAAGGTGTTATACACGCACCTGAAAGACAAGAAAAATACTGAAAAGAAAGACGGAAAAAAAAAAGTGGGAACGTCTTCCCTCTTCCCTTCCATCGTGCGTCCCCCATGGCTCTCCTCCGTCGACCAGAGCTCTCCTCCGTTGGCCATAGCTCTCTGTCAACCATAGCTCTCCGTCGACCATAGCATTTTGTCAGGTAATGTTACTCGAAAACCCCTAATTCTCCCTCATTCTCCCTCTCTGTCTCTATCTACATCAACCATGCTGAAACTGTCATGGTTGATGCTCATAATTTGGGGTTGTATATAAAATCTGTTCATAACCCCAAATGATGACATGCCTGCATGTTATCAGTTTGTTTTGGCCGAGAATTGTAGCAGAGAATTTCTTTGTGATTATCAAATTTTTTATTGTAGTCATTCACTTTTTGGACATTACAGAAGGTGCGAAAATAACTACCAATTTTTGACCATTACAAGTTATTATGTTATCACCATATTGGTGAATCCTACCAGGAAGTATGGAAGCATAATACGGATAAAACAGAGGGAATAAAAGTTGGACACAACAACTCGATTCAATAAAAGGCCTGAATTCCACTATTGCTCCAATTGGAATTTCTTAGATCCATCTTTCATAGGTTGCGACTTGAATACATCCACCTACCTCAACCCCAAGAAATTTCAACGGGTCTGCATATATGGTATAGGAACCCGTAGTAAAACTGGATAGATTATGGTATGCAATTAGAAGTGGAGAAGAAACTGGCACTGTGTGAGAACACCAACAGCATGTAGCATTGATATATGATAAATTAAACCAAAATGCAAACTTTTTCAATGTTTCAATCATCACAAATATGTTCAACAAAGTTTATTATTAGAAGTTTGATTAGTTTAATAATTTTATTATTAGTTTTATAATATTTTAGCTGATGTTTGATCTTATAAACATCTGTGATTAGTTTTACACATCACGGATGTTTGAATTTGTTTGATGGTTTATTTCAACAGTTTGTACAGCTGATTAGCTGATGTTTGATTTTATAAAATTATTATTCTAAAATCATTCTATTTGAATTTCATTTTTGATTCTTATAGAATGGAGGTTGATTCAAATGGTTGTGATAATCCTTTAGTAAATGAGGGTGAACAAGTTGAATCTGATTTCCGACCCCCTCAAAAACAAGTTGAAGAACCGAAGAAGGGTATGTGTTTTAGCTCAAGGGAAGAAGTGTACACATTTTATGCCACATATGCTAAGCATGTTGGCTTTTCTATAGCTCATAGAGCACAACATTTTGGAGATGATGGCGAATTAAAAAACTTTGCAATTGAATGTTCTTGAGCGGGGGAGAGAAAAAAGAAATCAGAAGTGAACCCTTTGAAGCCATCTTTGTCCACAAAAATTGGTTGCAAAGCAAGGGTACGAGGTACTCTACAAAAGAATGGGACATATATGTTAACCACAGTTAACCTTGAGCATAATCATGAGTTGATTCCCACCGACTCTCGTCATTTTGCAATGAATAAGAAAATTCGTACTCCTGTGAAGAGAAGATTAGAAATCAATGATCAAGCAGGGATTGGGGTGTCTAGGAACCATCATTCAATGGTTGTTGAAGCGGGGGGATACGAGTCATTGACATTTGATGAGCAAGATGCAAGGAATTACATCAATAGAGCTAGAAGATTAAGGCTTGGTGAAGGTGATGCTGAATCACTTCAAGTTATTTTATGAGGATGCAAGCACATAGTGAGAAATTCTTTTATGTGATTGATGTTGATGAGGAGTTTCGCATTAGAAACTTGTTTTGGGCTGATGCAAGGAGTCGGGCTATGTATGAATCATTTGGAGATGTTGTTTCATTTGACACAACTTATCTAACGAACAAATATGACATGCCATTTGCTCCATTTGTAGGAGTCAATCACCATGGACAGTCTATTTTGCTTGGTTGTGGATTGTTATCTAGTGAAGACACCGACACATTTGTTTGGCTATTTAAGTCGTGGTTAAGTTGCATGTCAAATAAACCTCCAAAAGCTATCATAACTGATCAGTGCAGAGCTATGCAAAATGCTATAGAAATTGTCTTTCCACAGGCCCGGCATCGATGGTGCTTATGGCATATAATGAAGAAAATACCGGAGAAGTTGAAAGGATATGCTCAGTATGAACCCATGAAGTTGGCTATGCAAAATGCAATTTATGATTGTTTGACAACAGATGAATTTGAGGAAAAATGGGAAGAGATGCTTATTAAATTCAATCTTTATGATAACGACTGGTTGGGGGTACTATATCATGAGCGGCATCGATGGGTTCCTGTATATGTTAAAGACATTTTTTGGGCTGGCATGTCAACAACACAACGAAGTGAAAGCATGAATGCTTTTTTTGATGGATATGTCAACCCGAAGACTACATTAAAACAATTTGTTGAACAATATGATAATGCGTTGAGAAGTAAGGTAGAGAAAGAGAAGAAATCAGACTTCAAGTCTTGACATAAATTGTTTGATTGTCTAACTATATATGGCTTCGAGAAGCAATTTCAACAAGCCTACACCAATGCAAAATTCAAAGAAGTTCAAGGAGAGTTGAAGAGATTAGTGTACTGTCAAGCCGTGATTGTCAAAGAGGAGGGAGCAATTTGTACATATAATGTCCAAGAAGCGCTGATAGTTTGTGACAAGATGAAGCATGTGGACTTTGTTGTGTATTTTAATTCAATTGAATGTGAAGTTCAGTGTATGTGTCGGTTGTTCAAGTTTAGAGGGATTAAGTGTGCTCACTCACTCACGGTGCTTGTGAGAGGGTGCATAAATGAGGTGCCAAGTAAGTACATTTTGCCACGTTGGAGGAAAGATTTGGTTCGAGAGTACACATGCATCAAAACCACGTACACTGGCTTTGGAGATGATTTCAATACAAGTTGTTATGAGAGGATGAACAAGAAATTGATCGCCATTATACAACTTGCTGGTAATTCGGAAGGGAAAATTAAAATTATAGACCATGGGTTGGATGAAATGAAGGATAGAGTCATGCACGATGAATCGGGTGATAGGAGTAATTTACCACCTTCTACTAATAGGATACTATCTTCTACAAAAAGTCCAATTGCCACCGGATGTACATCGGGTGCTAGTACGAGGAAGGTGGTTAGTCCTTTGGTTGTTCGGCGAAGAGGCCGTCCAGTAACGAAACGAAAGGTTGCCAAAGTAGATCAAATAGTGAATCGGTTCAAGGCAACGGCAAAAAAAAAAAACAAAAGCAAAGGTAAATTGTGTATGGAATTGAACTTGTTTTTTAATTTTTTAACAAACTCTTTTCAACTACATTTTTACAAACTCTTGAACCAATATAGGCTGCTAAGGTTCTTCAATTTGAAGCTCAAGCTGAAGTTCAAGCTCAAGCTCAAGCTCAAGCTCAAGCTCAAGCTTATACATCATATTATCCATATATGGTTGGCATGCAAAGTTAAGTCCCATATTACATGTCTAACGCATGTTGTGTATGAATTTCGAAGATTGGTTATTGAGTTCATGGTTTATTTTGACAATCTATATTTCAGCATTTTCATTTCATAGTTGATGGTTTAAAAAATTCTGTAAAAAAATTTGTTTCATTTTGCTATTTTGACAGTGTTTGAGCATTTTGTCAGTGTTTGACCATGATTTTTTGGGAGTTCATGCAGAATCTCTGTTCACAGTTCATGGTTTAAGAAATTTGTAAGAAAAATGATTTTAGCCAAAATATGGTTTTTTTAGTTCATGGTTCAAATCTGTAAAAATCTGTGTAAAATCTAAAATCTGTGTAAAAATCTGGTTCATGGTTCATGGTTCATGCTCAAATGTCAAATTTGGTTCATGGTTCTGTAAATGATGGTTCATAGATCATGCTCAAATCTCAAATCTGGTTCATGGTTCTTTAATTGATGGTTCATGGTTCATGCTGTTTAAAATCTGTCAATGCTGGTTCATTCTGTCAATGATGGTTCATGGTTTATGCTGTCAATGAGGGTTCATGGTTCATGCTGTTTAAAATCTGTCAATGCTGGTTCATTCTGTCAATGATGGTTCATGGTTTATGCTGTCAATGAGGGTTCATGGTTCATGCTGTTTAAAATCTGTCAATGCTGGTTCATTCTGTCAATGATGGTTCATGGTTTATGCTGTCAATGAGGGTTCATGGTTCATGCTGTTTAAAATCTGTCAATGATGGTTCATGCTGTCAATGATGGTTCATGGTTTATGCTGTCAATGAGGGTTCATGGTTCATGCTGTTTAAAATCTGTCAATGATGGTTCATGCTGTCAATGATGGTTCATGGCTGGTTCTGTCAATGATGGTTCATGGTTCATGCTGTTTAAAATCTGTCAATGATGGTTCATGCTGTCAATGATGGTTCATGGTTTATGCTATCAATGAGGGTTCATGGTTCATGCTGTTTAAAATCTGTTTATGGTTCAAATCTGTAAAAATCTGTTTATGGTTCAAATCATGGTTGCAAAAATATATCTGTTTATGGTTCAAATCATGGTTGCCAAAATATGTCTGTTTATGGTTCAAATCATGGTTGCCAAAATATGTCTGTTTATGGTTCAAATCATGGTTGCCAAAATATGTCTGTTTATGGTTCAAATCATGGTTCAAATCTGTAAAAAATCTGTCATGATTCATGCTCAACATCTTGATTCCACAACAATTCCACAACATCTTCATTCCACAACAAACCTGTTTAAAATCTGACATGGTTTAAAATCTGTCATGGGTCATGGTTCAATTCATGGTTTAAAACCTGTTCATGGTACACATATTCATTCCACAACAATTCCACAATAACACATCTTCATTCCACAACAATTCCACAATACCACATCTTCATTCAACAATTCAACAATGACAATTCAACAATTCAGTGGGTCATTTCCATTCCACTCAAAAATTCAACAATTAACAACAACACATATTCCATTCCACAAAACATATTCAACAATACATATTTCATTCCACAACAAAACATAGTTCTATCTACTTCTACTTGTACTTCTAAGTAGCATTACATCTTCATAAGTAATAACACACCAATTACAAGCAAGAAAAACATCACAAATTCTAGTTTTTGCATCTTTGCAGTAACACAGCTAAATTGTTCCGTCATAGATCTTTGTTGTTCGGTCATAGCTCGAACTTGTTCCGTCATAGATCTTAGCAGTTCTCTTTCTACTTGTCTTGGAATTTCTTGATCTCCACATTCTGAATTCATAGGCACACACCATCCAATGAAAAGGCCACAACCATTACAAGAGTAGAATAGCTTGTTTTTGTTTTGATCGGTCTCAGAAATTTGAATGATGGCCTTTTTCTTACATGTAGGACAATTTTTGATGAAGTACATCAACCGATCTGAGCTACTGGCGTTCACAGTTGAACTTGACATCTGCAATAACAAGTTGTCCTCATTAACTGAAAATTGAATCAGAAAGTGAACTCAATAGTCTCATATGGGAATAGTCTGAAATTGAATCAAAAAGTGAAAATTCAAACACTGTCAGTTTGAATTTGAACTCATACAAGTTACATTTTCTGTGCATTGGGCTAGTTCCATTTTTGAATTGTAAGTGAAACTTGAACATTAACACCTTGGTTCATGCTGTTTAAGTGAAATTTGAACATTGGGCTAGTTCCATTTCATAAATCCAATTCAAACTCCATTAAGTAAATAGAAGGGTTAAACAACTATTTGATCTACTTTGGCAAATTTGATTTCAGAAATTTGATAGTGACTTTTCAATTTTAATCTACTTTGGCAAATTTCAAATAGTTAAGTAAATAGCTCATTAACTATTCAAACTCCAATTCAAACTCCATTTCACTTACTACCTTGGCAAATTTGATAGTCACAGATTTTACACAGATTCAGTAAATAGCTCAGTGTAAGTAAATAGCTCATTAACTATTCAAACTCCAATTCAAACTCCAATTCACTTAACTACTTTGGCAAATTTGATAGTCACACATTTTACACAGATTCAGTAAATAGCTGAGTGTAAGTAAATAGCTCATTAACTATTCAAACTCCAATTCAAACTCCAATTCACTCAACGGCAATGGCAAATTTGATAGTCACAGATTTTACACAAATTCAGTAAATAGGTCAGTGTAAGTAAATAGCTCAAATTTCAATTTTCCAAAGTCACTATCTTAATTTTAATCATCTTATTTAAGTCAAAAACAAAAGCAAAGGTAAATTTGATTTCATAAATTTGATTCAACAAATTTAATTTTAGAAATTTGATTTTTACACATATTTTACCTAATAATAAAATATGGAATTGAGAATAATAAAATATATGTTAATTAGGGCATCAATCCATATGTTCAGATTTTACACAGATTTTCAATTTCAGAAATTCAATCCATCTGTTCAGATTTTACAGAGATTTTTACACAGATTTCAGAAATCTGAACAAATCTGTATAAATTAGGGCATCAACAACATATATATGTTAATTTCAGAAATTTCAACAACATATATATTACCTCAACTTGGGGATGACAATTTCTGAAATTTCGGAAGTTGGCAAAATTATGGCAAAATCAACATATATACATATATATATATATATATACACCAGATTGAAATAGAGGCAGTCGAGACTCGAGAGGACAGAGTCAGACCTGTCGTCAGGGCGTGAAGGGGAGGAGGGGGTCCGTTGAATAAGATGGAAAGGGAGGGAGAGAGAGAGTGCGTCGGGCGTCGGGCGTGGCAGTCAAGGACGTCGGAGTGAAAGGGAGGAGCTGAAGGAATCGGCCTTCGGAGTTGGGAGTTGGAGCCGTCGAGTTCAGGAGGAGTCGTTCTGCCTCTCGATCGCCATTGTCATCTCCTCTATATTTTCCCGTTCCCGTTCAAAAATGGGTTTGAATTCTGAAATAGGAGGGGCGTCGAGCTTGGTATGTCACGTGACCCATCACGTGTTGTGCAGCTCAATGGGGGTCGAGGGGGTCTTATTTTGAGGGGGGCAGAAACATTTTTGATTACTTTTGGTGACAAGCAAATTATTTAATTAATTTATTATTATTTTTTTTAATGAATGATATACGGAAAAAAAAAAAATTATAAAAGGAAGAGTTGGGTAATTGACTGGTTTGTGGTGGGTCCATAATCACTTTGGCAATAGTGATATGTTTTCTTCTTGCTAACAACACACTACTAAAACGCTCTCTTTCACAACCTTCAGCGCCTGGTGGTATTTAAATCAGAATTCAGCCCTCCACGCCTCTTTAAAAACGCTCCTCACCAAAATTCCATGGCGGAGGAGGATGATGTCCCTGATCAGAACCCTAGGTTCTTCGTGGCGGTGCACGTCGGCGTGGGATTTCACATGCCGCCGAACGAGAAAGCTCTCAGTTCCGCCATGAAACGTGCCTGCCTCGCTGCTGCTTCTGTTCTTCGTCTTTCCCTCTGTTTGGTTACCAAGAATCTTGAGGAAAATAAAGGAAAAGGAAATTTAAACTAGAATATCTTGAATCTATGTATTATGTCGTTTTGTTTGAATTCTGAACATTTTCTAACTATTTTCAGTTGTAAAGGTAGTGTTTGGTTTACTAGAATAGAATATGATCATTTCATCACAATGTCCATTCTCATATTTGGTTTGTTAACAAATGAGGAAAAATGCATTATAAATAGAATCATTACTCACCATTGTAAGTCTGAATGGTCATTTCACACAGATTATATAGATTGATCATTCCATTTTGTTCTACTAGGTATTTGCATATTGATGGAGGGCCTGCTCTCAGAAGTGGGTTAGCATGAGAGAGAAAGAGAGAGAGAGAGAGAGAGAGAGAGAGAGAGAGAGAGAGTCTTCATGTTTGGATGGCCCTTTTAAAGTTTATTAGTAGGGATTACCATTATTCATTTTTTTTTTCAAGTTGTATGCCATTTTCTGCACTTCCTAGATGTATCATAGAAGTAGAGCCCTTGTTATTCTGGAGCCTGAACTCTGAATATGACTGAAATTTTGTTTTGGATATTATGGTGAGATGGTATAATTTGATCTATGCTTTGGAAAACACAAGACAATGCAGGCTTGGACAAGGATGGTGACCATTGTCGGACATGAAAAATCTTTTGAACATTAACAGTCTTGAATGTGGAAAATTATAGATCACGTGCTTTTGGAATCCAAGGATATGACTAAGAGAAACAATAGCTCAACAACATGGTTTGGCAGTAGGCCTAGATTCATGGTGAAACTGGCAAAATGATGATTTAGGACGAATCATGAATTACAACATAGAAAACTGTTTTCTTGGTAACCTGGTGAAACCCACTGATATTTCTCATTTGTAATGCGGCCTGCCTTCACTTCTATCATTGCATCTCTTACCAATTCATGATGGTATTGTTAAAAAATGTCTCCAATTTTCAAGCCTTAGGAGTTCTTTTTAAGTCGATTAGAAAGAGAAGCCTTGAAGTTTTTAGAAGAGACTCCTCAAAACACCTTATCATACAAAAGGCTAAGTTGTTTTGCTTCTTCCTTGTTACCTCTTTCCATGCGTTGTGTACTTGATAACCCTCAAAGGTGGCCTTAACAGATAAATTGTTGCCTGTATCTAGAGGGAGAAACACTGGTGGAGATGTTGATAACATAGAAGAAGAATATTGTGTATTGATTATCGAATTAATCAACCGAAAGGGCTGAGTACAAATATATAATCTAAACAGAATAAAATCCTAATAACCTAAACTACCCGTAGTGAATAATATAAAATACTAATTCACACCGCCCCCTCAAATTGAGGATGTGAATGCAGAAAGTATCGAAAGTTTGCCAAGAAGAAAATGAAAACGAAAACGATCAACAGTGTGAGTCTTCGTAAAGAAATCGGCCTACTGAAGAAATGAGGGAACAAAAGGAAGAGTAATAGTGTCGGCCTGAAGATACTGTCCGACAAAATGACAATCTATTTCAATATGCTTTGTCCGTTCATGGAAGATGGAATTATGGGCAATCTGGATAGCACTCTGATTGTCACAATACAACAAAGTCGGATCAGAAAGAGAGACACCCATATCGGAAAGAAGCCACCGAAGCCAAACTATCTTGGAAGTGGCATGAGCCATGGCACGATACTCAGCTTCAGCGGTGGAACGAGAAACAACAGACTGTTTCTTACTCTTCCAAGATATGAGAGAATCTCCGAGAAAAACACAAAGATCAGAAGTGGATTTGCGATCAGAGATGTCACCTGCCCAATTAGCATCAGCATAGGCACGAATAATCAAATCCGAGGAGGTAGATAACAGCATATATTGCAACAGAGTGCCACGAAGGTAGCACAGAATATGGAGTAAGGCAACCTAGTGTGTGAAACGATGAATAGAAACAAACTGACTGAGAATGTGCACAACATAAGAGATGTCTGGACGTGTAACGGTGAGATAAACAAGGCACCCAACCAACTCTCGATACAAAGTGGGATCCTCAAGAGAAATGCCATCAGAAGTAGAAAACTTAGCATGCAACGCAATAGGAGTGTCGACAATTTTGTCATCAATGAGATTGGCACGAGAAAGAATATCACGGGCATATTTAGTTTGAGAGAGAAGATACCCAGTGCAAGAAGTAGCAATCTCAACATCAAGAAAATACCGAAGAGACCCCAAATCCTTCATCTCGAACTCCTAAAACAACTGACGCTTAACTTCCTTAATAGTACTAGAATCAGAGCCAATGATGATCATATCATCCACATATAAGAGAAAGAGAACAAGTCCAATAGAAGTGTGTCAAACAAAGAGAGCACAACCATGATGACTAGGGCGAAAGCCAAGCTGAAGTGTAACAGAGTGACATCGCTTATACCAAGCACGAGGAGACTGCTTGAGACCAGATAGAGCACGACGAAGACAACAAACAACACCGGGAGGGTGAGAGAGACCCAGTGGAGGCCGCATATACACTTCTTTAGCAAGATGCCCATTCAGAAAAGCATTTTTGACATCGAGCTAAAACAAAGGCCATTGATGGGCAACAACAACAGAGATAAGAGTGCGAACAATAGTCATTTTGGCGACGGGGGCGAAAGTCTCATCGTAATCAATCCCATACTCTTGAGAAAAGCCTTGGGCAACCAAACGAGCTTTGTACCGTTCCAAAGAACCATCAGAAAGCGTCTTGACCTTATAGACCCATTTACATCCCACAACATTCTTGCCAACAAGTAATGGAATCAAATCCCAAGTCTGAGTATTAGCCAAAGTAGTTAACTCGTCATTTATGGCAACATTCTAATTTGGATCATGACAGGCTTCCTTGTAAGGCCTGGGCTCAAAATAAGTATAAAGACAAGAAAGAAAAGACTGATAGGAAAGGGAAAAACATGTATTACCGAATCCAAGCCGATTTGAAGGATGACGGCTCGCTTTGGAAAGCGATGTGCAGGAGGTGCGAGATCCAAAGAAACAGCTGGAGGGACAGTAGAGCTAGAAGCAGATGAGCTCGGAAGTACTTTGTGGCGCTGATAAACAAGAAGAGGAGCAGGGGAAGTTGGAACTGGAGAGGGAGCTGGAATAGCAAGGGGGGAGTAGTTGGCGAAATATCAGGAGTGCTAGTAAGAGGCAAGGGAGAGACCTCAAGATTAGAAACAAACTCATTTGGAGAAACATCAGAAGGAAATGGGTCAATATGAACCAAGTCATCGTTGGTAATAGGGACCCGCCGGGGGGGGGGGGGGGGGATGGGGGGTATAGTGTATATTGGAATATGGATCTTCTTAGAGTGTATAAAGCTTGTATAACAGCTTGTTATTCTTTCCTTATTAAAGGTTGTATAGCTGTACTCATTTATGTTGGCTAGAATTAGGTTGTTTCCTTATTTAGATTCTTAGAAGTCAACTTATTGTACTTTATTTATAGCCTTGTACAGATTATGTTTGAGACATACGAGAAGAATTATTCTCTTCCAAAGCTTCATGGTATCAGAGCAGGTTTAGAAACCCTAACCCTAGCAGCCTCTTAACCTAGCCTTCATTGCTAGGATTATTCAGCCTTTATAGTTAATTCACTGTGGCCTTTATTGCCATTCAAAATTTCTGTTATATTCCTCTGATTGTTGCTGCTTTTTGCCATCTCGGATTCAAGTGAATAGTTGGTCCCTTCTACAACCTGTTTCTGTGTCCTCTTCAGATCATTTTTTTGTCTTGCTGCCCATTGATTCCTTCATTGAATCATGTTTGAGGTCACAGATGCATCTTCTTTAGACCCAAAAGCCCTTTCAACACCTGAAAGTTTGAGCCTCCAGATTGCTTCAACAAAACTGAATGGGACTAATTACCTTGAATGGTCACAATCAGCAATGTTGACAATCAAAGACAGAGGGAAGTTAGAATATCTCACAGATCCTCCACCAAAGCCAACCGATCCCAATTTCAAGACTTGGGATGTGGAGAATTCCATGATTATGTCATGGCTACTCCACTCTATTCAACCAGAAATTGGGAAGACTTACATGTTCCTTAAAACAGCCAAGGACATTTGGGAAGCTACCGCACAAACTTACTCTAATGTAGGTATGAAAGCTCATATCTATGAACTGAAAACGAAGATTCACAACACAAAACAAGGATCTTTCAGTGTCACTGAATACTACAATACCATCAAGAGCCTTTGGTTGGAACTAGACCATTATCAAAGGATTGAGATGTTGGTGTGCATCACAGACACTGCGAAGCTGCATTAAGCACTTAAAGAAGAAAGAATATTTGATTTCCTTGCGGGGTTAAATGGTGAATTTGATCAGATTTGAGGCAGAATTTTGGACAGGGAGAATTTGACATCCCTGAATGAGGTTTTCTCAGTTGTTCGAGGAGAAACAAGTAGGCAGGTG